AAAAAAAAAAAAAAGGAAATGAACTGTTTTGTTACAAAGACGTAGTAATTCTTATTTTTACAAATTTTTTCAAACAAAAAAAAAGCCATTTTCTATCTGTCACCGCTAAACTTAATTTCAGCTAAAGTAAATAATATACAATGAATAACCATCTCATTATCCTTAAGAAACATAAATCGGCCCTGTTGCGCAGTTATTGTTCAGTAATGCTGCTCTAATTGATGTAATCAGTCACCAGACACAGACACAGACACACGCTCACTCAAATTTAGGTTCCTCTAGAAACCACTGTTTACTCTTACTGATAAAATTGAATCTTTCTTCCGCGCCAAATAAAGGAGAAGATGAGGATAATGAAGAAAAAGAAGAGGCAGAAGAAAACAACAGCAAATGGAAAGGATAAAACAAAGTTGGGGAAATCAGCAAGCGTATAACCTGAGTGATGGAAAAATCCAGTCTTCATATATTCTTTCACTATCCCCGTAAATGCATCAGTTTTTTATTGGCAATACTCCACAACAACGGAAAATATACATGAACTTTTTTTTACCTCTCCTATTGACAACTTCCTTACAATTTCCTCTCGTTTCTCTATATCTTCGTCAATGTTTTAGTGGAGAGAAGCAGTCAACAAAGGCAACAACAAGGCTATGAAAAAATCAATCAAGAAAGTACAGGAAAGTAAAACTGGATAAAAATCATTTGAGTAAAGTTATCGGAAACCACCCTTAAGCAGCTGTCCCGTAGATAAAGAGAAAAAAAGAAATTTTTAATTGATATAAAGCTGTAACAGATTCTCAGAGGTCTCGATAAGAAATTCTAGCAGCAGCCGGTTTAACTTTGCATTTACGGTCTACCCAATTTCTTGGCCGTTTACAGCATCCCGGATAGTTGCGGTCCAGTTTTTACTCGCTAATTTTCTCTCGTAATTGGTCCTTGTATTTTTTTTTTCTTTTTTAGTTCAGTCCGCTAATACCGTTTTATGTCGTAACAAGGAGCTTTATGAACTATGGTTCGGCAAAATGTAGCTTCAAATGTGTTTTAAAGATTGGCTTCAACTAACATTGGTTCCGAATCGTTAGACCCTTATGATTTTTTGTTTTAGTTAGATAATTTTGAGGTAACATGTAGAGCAGAAAAGTGTTCATATTGGTTGGTTTCATTTTGTGTCTATATGCGATAAATATCCTTGTTTTTGACTGTCAGAACAATAATTTGTGACGGTTATGTGAGACAATTTTTTCCACCTCAGTTTTAAGCGTAAATGTTTTAATCGACAAGTGTCTTGCTCTACAATTTTTTTGTTCAGAAATTTCCAGTATTTTGAATTTACTTTTTTTATTTATACTACTATTAGTGTTTTTCATGCGTTTAGTTTAGAAAAACTGCGGAAAGAGATCACTATAAACAAGGAATTCTGACTAATATAGAATTTTCGCGGTTTCTGCGGTGCAAATATAACTCTCTGCTTGTTGCAGAGGGATGTCAGGACACAGCAAAAATTTCTAATTGAATTAAGATATATCATCAAGGAATTTGTATGCCACAGAACTAGCTACTAATATTAGTGATTTATTTTTCGCTTTTGCAGCAGATTAACGAGAAGATTGGAACAAGTGATTCGGCTCTTTGCTCAGCTTTTAAATTTCGTTTTAGATGTTTTTTTATTTTTTTTTCATTTCTTTTTTATTTTTTATTTATTTATTTCTTTTGAATTGAAGAGGTGAAGTTTTGCGTGGCATAATTTATAAGTTTAGTCAACGTACGTGCTGAATCTAAAGGAGTAGAGGAAATATTTCATGATTATTAATTTTATTAATTTTGAGCAGCTGTTGGCTGATCTTTGCTGGCTTTTTTTTTAACCAGTAACTTGCCGATCTATAATTTTTATTTTTCAGGTACTCAGTGAGGTACCAGCAGTTCCGAGATGGTAAGCGTTTTTTGGTTAATTAAACATCGCGTCAGGAACTGTTTTGTTTTTTCTTATTGTTAATATGACTAGGGATTTGCAGCTTTTAAAACTCACTTCTGTTTTAGGGTATTGATATATGTCACAAGAATGATAGGAAGGTTCGTCGTACTGCGCCGAGAAGTGAAGATCCGTACTTGCGAGTGCTTGTGAAGGTATTATTTTATTAATCTCACTTTCAAAATGTTAAACTTATGGTTTTAAACGTACCGTATTTCTCCTGTATACGTTTTTGTGAAATTTTGCCCTACAGTTGACGCTGGAATTCAAATTGAGTTGTTAACCAGAGAATGAAGGGAAGTCGACAAGATTCTCATTAACGCTTGGTTTTTTTTTTCTTTTTTTGTTTTTAAATAACATCAGAGTATGCCACGTACTGTATGAGTAAGGGGATATAGTTTTTGAGCCTATCCTTTTGTTTGGTCATTTTGAAAAAATCCTTTTTTTCTAGCTGTATAAGTACCTTGCGCGCCGTACTGGAAAGAAGTTCAATAGAATCGTCTTGAAACGTTTATTTATGGCAAAACGTCATCGTCCGCCAATGTCGATTGCCAGGCTCATAAGAAACCTTAAAAGGGTACAGATAATTTCCGTAACTCCTCTGAAATTTTTTATTTTTTAAATCAAGATTGCTGTAGAATCCAGATCAATTTAGGGTGACAATCTGAAGAAGATCGCTGTAGTCGTTGGAACGATCACTGATGACCATCGAATTTATAAAATACCAAAATTAACCGTATGTTCATGGGTTTGCCAGCCCGTTGTTTAAAATATTATTACAGTTTAAAGACCCAGCTGATATTTAAGGTAGCAGCTCTTCGAGTTACTGAAAAGGCACGAGCACGTATACTAAAAGCAGGTGGCAGAATATACACATTCGACGAACTTGCACTGAAAGCCCCGAAAGGTGAAAATACGTTGCTGATTCAGGGACCACGCAAAGGCAGACTAGCGGAGCGTCACTTCGGACTTGCTCCGGGTGTGCCTCACAGTCATACTAAGCCTCTTGTCCGTTCGAAGGGACGGAAATTTGAAAGGGTTTGTTCTCTTCTCTTGTTTT